TGTGGCAATGTTCTTAGTGGGTTGGTGGTAGTGTTTTTGGTGGTGGCTATGGTGGTGGTGGTGATTTTGGTATTAGTTATGGTGGTGGTTGTGGTGGTGGTGGTGTTGGTCATCGTGATGGTGGTGGTTGTGGTTTTGGTGGCGGTCGCAATGGTTATGAGGCATAGAACGACGAATCGATTATTGGGCTCACGATACACGCATCGAATCGCGTGTCGGATAATCGATTATTATGATTTACGCAAATTATATGCAAACGATATGCTAACGTTACATTTAGGCTAATGGTAGTGAACACAACGGCACGGACAAGACCTTTGAAAAATAAAACCAGGAAACAATGCAAACGAGAGAGCGTAAAACACGACACAAAATAATCGAATCGAGACACCGAATCGTGACGATTCATAGAATCGTTAAGGATTTGAATCGTTAATGCCGAGTGGCGATGGTGGTGGTGAGGGAGTGGTGAGGTGGTGGTGAGGCGGTGGAGGAGGTGGTGGAGGTAGTGGTGGAGGTGGTGAAGGGGTGGTGAGGTGGTGGGAGGAGGAGGTGGAGGAGGTGGTGAGATGGTGGTGGTGAGGTGGTGGTGGTAAGGTGGTGGTGGAGGTGGTGGAGGAGGTGGTGGAGGTGGTGAGGGGGTGGTGAGGTGGTGGTGGAGGAGGAGGTGGAGGAGGTGGTGAGATGGTGGTGGTGAGGTGGTGGTGGTAAGGTGGTGGTGGAGGTGGTGGAGGAGGTGGTGGAGGTGGTGGTGGAGGTGGTGAGGGGGTGGTGAGGTGGTGGTGGTCGTCGAGGTGATGGTGGAGGAGGTGGTGGTGGTGAGGTGGTGGTGAGGTGGTGGTGGAGGTGGTGGTGGTGACGAGGTGGTGAGGAGGTTGTAAGGTGGTGGTTGTGGAGGTGGTGGGTGGTGGTTGTGGAGGTGGTTGCTGTCCGAGTAATGTTTGGAGTTGTGGAGGTGATGGTGGTTGTGGAGGTGATGGTCATTGTGATGGTGGTTGTGGAGGTGATGTTGGTTGTGGAGGTGATAGTGGTAGTTTCTGGGTAGGTGTGGTGGTGGTGGTAGTTGTGGAGGTGATGGTGGTTGTGAAGGTGATGGTGGTAGTTTCGTGGTAGGTGTGGTGGTGGTGGTAGTTGTGCAGGTGATGGTGGTTGTGGAGGTGATAGTGGTAGTTTCGTGGTAGGTGTGGTGGTGGTGGTAGTTGTGGAGGTGATGGTGGTTGTGGAGGTGATAGTGGTAGTTTCGTGGTAGGTGTGGTGGTGGTGGTAGTTCGTGGTAGGTGTGTGGTGGTTGTGAAGGTGGTGGTGGTAGTTTCGTGATAGGTGTGGTGGTGGTGGGGTTTCGTGGTAGTGTGGTGGTGGTGGTAGTTGTGGTAGGCGTGGTGGTGGTCGTAATGGTGTCGATTAGGGCATCACCACGGACGGTGGTGGTTGTGTTGTCTCGATATCCGGGTGTTGTTGTTATTGTTGACTGTTGTTGACATTGTTGACTGTTGTCGTTGTTGAATTTTGTTGATTGTTGTTGACTGTTGTCATTGTTGGCTGTTGTTGTTGATTGCTGTTGTAATTTTGGCTGTTGTTGTCCTGGCCATTTGAGTTGTTTTTAGTGATAGCTGCTGTTGTTGGTGTCACTGTAGGAGTAGACGTGTTTGTTGGAGCTATTGTTGTTGTTGGCTCGGCAAACCAAGCCGCCGCCGCCACCGCCACATCAACCAACCCACCCTCGCGTTTCGCCGCCAGCCTGGGGAACTCCACAACTGCCGCGTATCGGTTCACTACCACAGACAGGTGCACGCGCCTCCACCACGAGACGGGTGATTCCACATCTTCCCCCTCCACCACCACCCCCCACCTACCCGACCCCCACCCTGCCCACCCTTCTTGAAACCCCCGAGATAAGAGATTATCTCCGCCTATCACAAACAACAATAGACAACCTTCACATGTGCATATACTCAAAACACAACTTCCTCCACCATCTCCACCTCGTCCACCCCACCACCACCACCACGCACTTTGGCTAAAGTCGATCGAGTCTCAGCCGCGTGCGTGGGTCCACCGTGAATGTCGAAGCACGTGATCCGCAGAGGCAGCGTCCCTGTGACGTGCCCCCCACACGTGACGTGTCCTTGTGACGTCTCTCACACGTGACGTGTTCCCACACGTGCCTTCTCGTCCAATATAAGTCATCTTTTTGAGAGAGAGAAAAAAACTCGTCTGTCCGTTTTGATGTTTGTTTTTTGTTGGGGGGGGGGGGGTGTAGTACCATCCGCTTGCGCCCCCCTTCTTCAAATCCGGGGAAGGGGGAGGTGGGGGAGGCTTTGTCTTTGTCTCCGAGGTGGGGGCGGAGGGAGTTGGGGGGGGGGCTCCCGAAGTTTGCGAGAATTCGTGGGGGGGTCCCCTTCACCTTGGTCACTGTTCAAATCTTCTTGGGCAGAAATCTCGGTGGCGGAATGAATGGAAGGACGACGGAATGAGTGAGTCAACGAACTGAAAATGTAATTACAATGCATGAGGAATTTGTTGGACGAACGATTTGAACGGCTGATTGATTTAACTAAAGAACGAGTGAATGATTGATTGTACGGATAATTAAAACGTGTTATAACCGAAGGGTTAATCACCAAATTAGTTATTCGAGGAATGAATAAATGATGGAATTGTATATTTCTCTGAATGACCTGACACTAAATAATGGGGTTTTGAGCGCACGGTTGATTTAACGAAATAAATACATTATTTTTTGCAATAAGTTATTGATTTAATAATTATCGAATCGTTAAGAGCATTATACCACTCCATCTCCTGCACTGCGGCAGTGAGGGATGGCGACGGCATGTCTTCATCCAGCAGTGGACAGATCACGGCTGATGGCCACGATGATGATGACAATGATGGAGACTCAATCATGGAAAAACTAAAACAGTTATGTTTGGGTAAATGATTTAACTTATACGTGACTGAACAACGAATGAATGGCTGGGTGAATACACGATTCAGTGAATGAACAATTACGGAATGATTGAACGAAACGAAATTCATCAACGCATTCCGCATCGAGGAGAAAGTTCAGCCCGAGGTGGTTCGGGGGGGCGGGGGGGGTTGCGGATCACGAGTTCGCAGGACGCTGGAGTCACGGGCGGGCAGGCAAACAGGCAAGACGCAGGCAGGCAGGCAGGTAGGCAGGCAGGTAAACAGGCAGGCAGACAGGTAGGAGGAGCCAGGGGTGGTAGGCTGCTGCCACGGGCAGCCCTCACTGCAGCCTGTGCCAGTACTGCGTCAGGTCGGGTTCGCTGCCCGGGACTTGAACGGGCACTGACACCCCCGGCGAGATGAGACCTGGGGAGAGCAGAGACAACAACAGACGAGGTCAACGTCGTCCGCGTTCAGTTTTGATTGGCTGTTGTCGTCATCACGTCTGATGAGTTGTCGTCATCACCGCCATCGTGGTCATCGTGATCATCGTGATCGTCACTCTAAGCAGATTCTTCTTTTTGTCGTACGGGCGGCTGATGTCCACGCAGAGCAGCAATTGCGATCTCACATTCAGGTGGTCAAGCGCAGACAGCCGCGTCACGAGAAGCTGAGTGGTGTGTCGTCACTGTTACGTTTCCTTCTTCGTATTCGTGGATCGGGGCATTGCCTCGCTGTACGTTGCACCACGCTCTCTGTTCTGGATGACCGCAGTCGCACGCCACTACTACTGGATGCGGATGATGATGATGATAATTATCCGCTTCATCGTCAAGCATCGTCCTCAACGTGAACAGGCATCGTAGTCGACGCGGCAAGTTCCTGGGAGACTCAACCGAGACACGTGGGCGGATCAGTCGACAGCCACGCCCACAAAGATTAAGATCCCCCGTATAGCCTGTGACAGACTTCGGAGCAAGGGCTGTTAGCGAGCAGCACCTATGAAGGCCGGCACGGCACACGAGTGGGTGGGTGGCCAGCACCACGCCCGGCCGCCTTTGTCTCCCGAGTGGCGATGTTTACTACACATCGCACCAGGTACTCATTTGAGGCTGAGTCGACCTAGGGGAAGCCCAGAACCGGTTTCAGATAACGGTCACTGGTGTTGGCCGTGAACGGGAATCGAACTCGGGTCGCCGGGTTTGTATCGCAGCGTAGCGCGCTAATCGCTGCGCCACCGCTCCTGGGAGGGTTATTGATGATGACGTTGTTGTTGTTTACCTGTGGACCCCGCGGGGCCCATGCTCTGGCTGCCCACGTGGTTCTGCACGTGGGGCGGCGTGTAGCCGTCGTAGCTGCGCGCGCTCACGGGGCTCGTGGGGAGCATGCACGAGTAGCCCCTGGCTGCCCATGGGCGCCTGGACACACACACGGACACACACACACATACACACACACACGTAAACACACACACGGACACACACACACGTACACACACCACACGGACACACACACACGTACACACACACACGGACACACACACACGTGCACACGTAAACACACATACACGGACACACACACGGACACACACGCACACACGCACGCACACACGCACACACACACAACAACAACAACATTCGCCACTAAGTGGCGGTGACGTCACCACGACGCTTGTGCCAGGCTGGCACACACGGACACACAAGACAAAGATCCACCGTATAGCATTAACATGCTGTAGGGGCAAGTGCTGTTAGCGAGCACCTATGAAGGCAAGAATGGTACACGAGGGGGTGGGTGGCCAGCACCACGCACGACCGCCTTTGTCTCCCCAGTGGCGATGTTTAGACACCGCACTAGGTACTCATTTGAGGCTTAGTCGACCTAGGGGAGGCCCGGGACCGATTCAAATAATCGTCACCGGTGTTGTGCCTTGAGCGGGAATCGAACTCGGGTCGCTGGGTTTATAGCGCGCTAACCGCTACACACCGCTCCCCACACACGGACACACACATACACGGACACACACACACACACACGGACACACACACAAACACGGACACACAAACACGGACACACACGCACGTATACACACCCTCGTGCGTGCCGAGCCGCCCTTCATAGGTGCTCGCTAAAAGCACTTACCCCAACTTGTCTGTTAAGGCTACACGGGGATCTTTGCCTTTCGCGTGAACTCACCTGCATGGGCAGGTTGTTAGCCATGGAGAAGCTGGGCATAGGTGGCAGGGCGCTGTACGAGTTGCCCAGACCCATGTCCGTCCGACCCAGCATCGCACCTGTGTGGGGGTGGGGGGGGGTGGTGAGGAGGTGGTGAGGAGGTGGTGAGGAGGTGGTGGTGGGAAAGGGGTGAGGCAAGGAGGTAGTAAGGAGGTGGGAAGGGGATTTCAACAGACCTCTCCATGCACGCCAGGGACTCACCTGTTCCATTGTCTGCATTTTGCAATCATCGCACGCCGACGACTCTGATCGTGAGGTCTATTGGTGTGTCTAGTAGTGATAGTATGTCTATAATGTCACTTGTGGGTGGTCTACAACATGGGAAAGACGTCGGGCGGGTTTCGCCATCATCAGGGATCATCAGCTGACATGGCGATTGCCTCGCCGATTCTTGGCCATGCCAGGGTTCAACCCTCACCTGTAGCTCAGCCTCACCTGTAGCTCAGCCTCACCTGTAGCTCACCCTCACCTGTAGCTCACCCTCACCTGTAGTTCAGCCTCACCTGTAGCTCAGCCTCATCTCTATCCCGCCCCCTCCCTGGATCTGCCTCTGCCGCTCGCTCTGCTCACCAGGGCGCCGCGCTCCTCACATGTAGCTCAGCCTCACCTGTGTACCATCCCCGCCTGTACCTCACCTGTAGCTCAGCCTCACCTGTAGTTCAGCCTCACCTGTAGTTCAACCTCACCTGTAGCTCAACCTCACCTGTAGCTCAGCCTCACCTGTAGCTCAGCCTCACCTGTAGCTCAGCCTCACCTGTAGCTCAGCCTCACCTGTGTACCATCCCCGCCTCTACCTCACCTGTAGCTCAACCTCACCTGTAGCTCAGCCTCACCTGGGTGCATGCCAGGTGCCGTGGGCTGCGGGATGGGCTGATAGACGGTGGCGGAGAAGCTCGAGTTGATGGGAATGTGGCTCGGAGCGTTGCTCGCCTGACGCCTCTGGTTCCGCAGCTTCTCCTCACGTCGCCACTTGGCGCGACGGTTGAGAACCACACCTGGGGGGGGGGGCGGGGGGCCGGGGGGGGGGGGGGGCGGGGGGGCCGGGGGGGGGCATGGGGGTGGGGGGGGTTGGAGAGTGACCCAGGGTAGCAGGGAAAGGGGGGGGGGCTGAGCCGGTGGGTTGATTGATCGGACTATCTGATGAGCGAATGAGTGAATAACTGAGTTCGTGTGTTGGTTGATCCGGTCCGTTGATTCATTGGTGGGATGGTTGAATTATTAGGGTGATTGTTAAGTTTATTTGGGTGATTATTGATTTATTGATTGGTTGATTGTTTGATGAAGTGATTGGTTGATTGGTAAATTAATTGAATGGTTTATTAATGACATTATTTCTTGGTGGATGGCTCTTAGGGGGGACATTTGGTTGACTGCTTTATTAATTGGTAAATTTCATTGTAGTTTTTTGCAATTTTTTATTCAATCCTGAACTGCAGGAGGAGGAAATTCCACAGCACTATGCCAGGGATCGCTTATATAATTTTTTTTAAAGGATAGACGAAAACCTACTTACTGTCATGCCATATACTGCTTCACCTGTAGGCCTGTCACTCATCACTCATCTGTCACTCATCACTCACCTGTCACTCATCACTCATCTGTCACTCATCACCTGTCACTCGTCACCTGTCACTCACCTGGATGCGCGCCTCGGGGAGGTCGATCTTGGATGCGAGTCGCTCACGCGCGAACACGTCCGGGTAGTGAGTCCGCTCGAACTCTGGGCAGGGTGAGCAGTGCAGGTGAAGGGTGAGACACAGGTGAGACAGGTGAGGGGTGAGACAGGTCAAAGTGGTACTAATGCTGCTGTTGATGATGATGATGATAATCATGACTGTGCTGCTGCCAATACTGCTGCTGCTGATGATGATTACGATGATGGCGACTCGACTGCTGATGATGCTGATGATGACTGCTGTACCTCCTGCTACTCGCTGAAACTCGTGCCGATGATGACGCCGATGACTGCCGACGATGATTACAATCCAACCGCCGATGCTGATGGATCACGATGACTACCGCTGCCGCTCGCTGCCGATGATTACGATCCTGACTGATGACGACGCCACTGATGATCACGACGCTGCTGATGGTGACGACGCCGACCAGGGCTCTCACCTTTCTCGAGGGCCTCGATCTGCTCCTGGGTGAACGAGGTGCGATTGCGCTGCAGCTTCCTCTTCAGCTGGAGCCGCATCTGCGCGTCCTCCGAGTCGTCGCTCGCCGAGTTGCTCAAACTCGTGTCCAGGCTCCCGTCGTGGGACGCGCACCCGTCTGGGGGGGGGGGGGGGGGCGGTCACGTGACGTGGGGGGGGGGGCAACGCGGGGGGGGTCACAACGGTCAGTCGGAAGGTCACGAGCGCCGCGATGGTCCAGTTAGGTCACTGGTTGTACACGGGGTGCCGGGGGAAGCCAGTGCGGGGCCTGTAGCATTTGTTATAAAGGGGCCCTATATAAAAAAAACCACGTAAATATTACAACACAAATGTTTTTAAACTTGCATAGTAAAGTAATTGTTTTTTTTTTCATTTGCTATACAGACAGATAATACGACAAATCGCTAACCTTAAACACCCAGTCGTTTCATAAAAGTTGAAGGCAGTATAGTACTATAATAATAGAGCAAGTGCAGAATCACTGAACTGGAATTGATAGCTTGAAAGCATTTAGCGCCGAGGCCTTGAAAGTGCGGGGCCCGTAGCTACATGTGTAGCTACTTTTGCTTCTACGATAATCCGGCACTTGTTGTACAGGCTAACGACGCCTCTGGTTACGCACAAACCACGGCGGTAGATGCGGATTCCTGATGATGCACAAATTGGTAGGAAAAAAAACTCCAGCAGTGATGGTGCAGCTGCGGTCATCCAGCACAGAACGTCGTGCAACGTGTAACGACGCAATGGCTCCGACCCACAAATACGAAGGGGACACCACAGCGACGCTGCTGCTGACGCCGTGGTCTGGGCATGAGCACCTGGCTGTCAAATCGCAGTCGTTGTTCTGCGTCCACATCAGCAGGCCGCACGACAACAAGAAGAAGACCGGTTGGGAAGTACTACCATTAACACATTGTCCTGCGGAGGGAGCTGGCAGGAACGTTGGGTTGCTCGGTCAATGGCCAGGGTCAACGGCGGCGTGCTGTATTCCGCAAATATGCCCGACTGTGAGGGCGGGCACAAGCCGGCGTGAGTAGGTTAAACGTTGAGTTTTATAAGGGCACCACGGGGTGACCAGCCCCTCCCCACCCAGCCCCACCCCTCCCACCCCCCACCCAGCCCCACCCTCCCCACCCAGCCCCTCCCCACCCTCCCCACTCCACCCAGCCCCTCCCCACCCTCCCCACCTCACCCAGCCCCTCCTCACCCGCCCCTCTCCACCCAGCCCTACCCCTCCCATTTGTGGATGCACGACGGACGGACGGACACAATAATCCCCTGTGGGCTGGTGTAACCAGGAGGTTCCTACCAGTATTATTGTGAGTACCACGCCTGTTTACCCATTACAGCTGTTATATAGAACAACGAGTGTATTATTATTGTTGTTGTGATTATTAAGCCTCACTGAGTCTCAAGACTCTTTTCCAAGAGGGTCCTGCCAGGCTTTCGTAGTACGTGGGTTGGTGATGTTGCCGCTGCCGCTGATGCTGCTGCGTGTTAACCCATCTGAGTAATTTGCGTTGCGATGCTGTCATCATGTTTTGGCTCATAGCAGTCACAAGGTATGGTTTTGTTTTTCAAGTTACAGGAGGAAACCCATGCAGATCAAGTTTAGATCATAGACATTTCTGCTCCGATTTGAAGTTTCCGTGACTGCAAGGATCCATACTCTTTGGTTCTTTCGGTAAAGTCACGTCGGTGAAAAAATTAATTTTTTTAAAAAATTATATAAAAGAAATAAATTAAATCACGACGTTTCGGGCGCAACACAAGCGCCCGTCATCAGGTGTTGCGCCCGAAACGTCGTGATTAAATGTATTTATTTTTATTTTATTTTTGTCACCTACGTGACTTTACCGAAAGAACCAAAGAGTATTTCTGCTCAGCCCGAGCTACTAATTAATAACTGGTATTGTGCTTGTGCTGTTCGCCGTTTCGCGTTGTTCCCTGGTCTACCAATACTGGTGGCTGTCTCTGGTGTAGGCCAATCGGTGCCAAGAACAATGCATGCCTTGTTATCATCAACGCACGGTTTGTATGCGTGTTGAACTTCTTTCGCACCGTACATAGCCGACTGTGCTAATGTGTGGCTTAACGCAGACTCGACGCCTTGCAAGAGGCGTCCACTGGGCGTTTGAACATCTGAACGCCCCCAGTGTTGTGGCCGGGAAGGGCAAAGCCGATTGATCACCTTGATACCGGCAAACCGGTTCCCGTAGCTTCTCTCCGTTGGTGTAGTCAGTTGGAACATTCCGAAGAAAGCCCGTGCAGAACAGGGGGAGACCAACTCCAGAACGACCCCCCCGGATAGCCGTCAACAGGCAGGAGGGGAAAGTGCGGTTCGAGAGTGCCGATGAACGCCGGCACCACGCCCGGCCGCCTTTGTCTCCCCAGTGGCGATTGTTTACACACCGCGCCAGGTACTCAGTTAAGGCTCAGCCCACCTAGGGTTCGCCGGGTGTACGTAGCGCAATGCGTTGCCCACTACACTACCACTGCTCACAGCCATAGCCAGCACCACGAAACGCACATGACACCTGAGAGACAAAAGCGTCCCTAGGGCACAAGACAAATCGTGGCGATCGCCCCGGGCCCCGCGCTGTGAGGGGGGGGGGGGGGCGCTTAGACGTCACAGTGTCAGATGTAATACTTCCGATTTAATTTGACGGCGTCGGGGGACCCACGTGGTGGGGTTTGCCCCGGGCCCCGCACCCCCCCCCCCCCCCCATGGACGGGCCTGGCGACAGCCACACGCGGAGACGGCCCCATCACCACCACAGTCCCCCTCCACCCACTCCCCTCCACCCCACCCCACTCCACCCACTCCCCTCCACTCCACCCCTCCACTCCCTCCACCCCTCCCATTCCCTCCTCCCCTGCCCCTCCCCTCTCCTCCACTCCCATCCGTTCCCCTCCACTCCACTCCCATCCTTTCCCCTCCACTCCACCCCCTCCACCCACTCCCCTCCACCCCACCCCACTCCACCCACTCCCCTCCACTCACACCCCCTCCCCTGCCCCTCTCCTCCACTCCCCGCCCCTCCCCTCCCCTGCCTCTCCCCTCCCCTCCTCCCCTGCCCCTCCCAAACCCTCGTGTCGCCATGGCGCGTGTTGCCAGGTGACTGGTGAGAGTGGAGGTGTGAGTGAGTGAGTGTGGACTGGGTGGGTGGTGGTGGTGGCGGTGGTCGTGGTGGAAGCGGCTGTGGTGACTGCAGGGGGTGGGGGCCACCCTGACACCCGGGGGGGGCACCCTGACACCCGGGGGGGGGCACCCTGACACCCGGGGGGGGGGCCACCCTGACACCCGGGGGGGGGGGGTGGGGGGTGCCACCCTAACGCCCGCGAGCCGCCCACCATCGCGACGAGACGAGGATGCAACTCCGCGGAGTCGATCAGCGGCGTCGCACCTACGGCAATGAGCCTCGCTGCGAGGAAATTCAAACGGGGGGGGGGGGGGCTGGGCAATGTTGCCCCCCCCCCGCTCCCCCCCCCCCGCTACCCCCCCCCCCCACCACCACCACGATCTTCATAGCCCGGGTCTATGAAGATTGAGGCCACCCTACCCCCTCCCGTACCGTGCCAGCCTCCATCGGTGCTCGCGAACAGCACTTGCCCCAAAAGTATGTTGAGGCTATACGTTGGAGATCTTTGTCTTTGCGTGGCTATATATTTTTTTATATTTGCTCGTTTGTTTATTTATACTGGCCAGGGTTGGCGGATCATGGAGAGATTCGTGTGAGAACTCTCCACCACTCGCCCGTGCTGCAACTGTGTTTCACTGCTTTCTCTCGTCCCCTCTGATCCCCATCCCTCTCCCCTTGCCCTCCCCTTGCCCTCCCCTTGCCCTCCCCTTGCCCTCCCCTTCACTCACTCAGTAGGTCAGCCGCCTGACGAGCCACCCCGGAACGAACGTCCCCAGGGTACACGGCGAATCGGGGCGATCGCCCTGGGCCCCGCACTTAGGGGGGGGGGGGGTGAGGCACTCGCTTCGTCGTCACGATGTCAAATGTAATACTTCTGGTTTAGTTCGCAGGCGTGGGAGGTTACCATGGGAGTCCAGTTTACTATGGGAGTCCAGTTTACCATACACGTCATTATCTCCCCAGTGGGGATGTTTACGCACCGCCCCAGGTACTAATTTGAGGCTGAGTCGACCTAGGGGAGGCCCCAGGACCGGCTCAATTAATCGTCACCGGTGTTGGCCGTGAGCGGGAATCGAACCCGGGTCGCCAGGTTCGTAGCGCAGTGTAGCGCTCCCCACTGCACCGCCGCTAATAAACACACACACGCACAGTCACGTGCGTCACCCTGTCTCCTGATCCCCTCGTGCCTTCTACCTCATCAAAACTCACCCACCCCCTCCTCTGCCTCCCTCCCCTGCCTCCCTCCCCGTCCCCCCCGTCCCCGTCCCCTCCCCCAAATCCCCCGTCGCTTCAACATCCCCCCCTCGCTCGGCACCACGCTTCCAAACACGCCGAATCTGCGGGGTGTGCGTCTGTCCCCCAAGACCCCCTCCAGCGAGTACACCGGGGGTCTCGGTGCGCCCCCCGGGCGAAGGGGGAGCAATGGTGGGGGGGGGGGAGGTTGGCAGAGAGGGGTCGAGGAGATGGTGGGGGGAATTAAGAGGGGGGGGGGGGTGTGACGCTACATGCGGAGTCATTAGAGAGCCGCCTCTGGGTGCTGCGTGGATTCGCAGCGCTAATTACCTCTGCGAGACAGCAAGCCCCATCGGACACACACACGCGTGTACGTGCACACGTACACACACACACACTTGTACACACACACACACACGTGTGTGTACACTTGTACACACACACACTTGTACACACACACCTGCAGATATACACACACTTGTGTACATCTAGACACTACAACGATAAAGGTCCCACCCCCCGTATAGCGTTCGACAGAGTGTTGGACCAAGTAGAGGCGCGCCTACGGTACACACGATGTCGTGGGTGGTCCACACCACGCCCGGTCGCCTTTGTCTCTCCAGTGTTGATGTTTGTCGCAGCAGGTACTCATTTAAGGTTGAGTCGACCTTGGGGAGGTCCATGACCAGTTCAAATAATCACCACGGCTGTTAGATGACCGTGAGCAGGAATCGAACTCGCCGGGTTCGTAGCGCGGCACGCTAACCGCTACGCCACCGCTCCCAACAGGCACACACAGACACACGCCTGACGTACACCTGCACACGCCCAAGGGCTCGGAGCGTCGTACCTGGGGATTTACAGTGAAGCGCGCACCTTTGGGAACGCACCTGGCAGATACACGACGCACGCCGACTCCGAACACACACGCACGTAAACATATACAGAACAAAGACAAAGATCCCCCCTATAGCCTCACCATACGTTTTGGGGCAAGTGCTGTTCGCGAGCACAAATGAAGCCTGGCACGGCACACACGAGGGGGTGGGTGGCCAGTGCCACGCCCCGGCCGCTTTGTCTCCCTAGTGACGGTGCAATGTGAGTACTCGTTAGAGGCTGAGTCGACCTAGGGGAGTCCCGATACACTAAACTAAAACTATAAAAAAAATATTTTTATTTTTCCATGTAATTCGTTTTGGGACGCGACCTGGCAATCACAAATGATAGCTCGACGTCGGGGTGGCCAATCATCATCATCGCGTGGGAATTTTTGTTTTAATAGCAGCAGCCAAATCCTCTGAACGCGTTGATTCTAAATGTGGAGGGGGAATGCCCCGGAGGAGTCAGCCAGTACCTTGTATCGCTTTGCTCAAATCATTTTGCTCCGATCTGGCACCACATAACGTGCATCGAGGAAGAGCCGTTCCCTGGCTCGCCAGGAGAAGGCGGAACAGCAAAGTGCGGACTAATCACCGTCTGTTTCCATCTGTACGGGGATGTAGCGTTACCGCCCCACCCCCCTCGCGCAAGGCGCGTGTTTTCTCCGGGTGGACCGCCTTTGTCTCCCCAGTGGCGATGTTTTACACACAGCACCCGGTACTCATTTGAGGTTGAGTCGACCTAGGGGAGGCCCAGGACCGATTCAGATAATCGTAACTGGGTGTTTGGTGGCAATGAGCGGGAATCGAACTCGGGTCGCCGGGTTCGTAGCGCAGCACGCTAACCGTTGTACCACCGCTCCACACCCCATCTCCGATTTGCACGGTTGGCTACGTACGGTGCAAACGAAGTTCAACTTACATACATCTCCCTTCCTCCCCACGTGACCCCCCTCCATCTCCACCTGGCCCCTCCTCCTCCCCGATAACCTCCCCCCCCCCACCTGAACCCTCTTCCCCCCCCATCTCCCCTCGACCCACGTCTCCCCCCTCCCCCCCCAACATTAACTTGATCACCCCCCCCCCTCTCCCCCACCACACCACACCTGATCCCCCCCCCACTCCCTCCTATCCACCTCTCCCCTCACCAAAACACACCTGATCACTCCCCCCCCCTCCCTCACCCCCCCTCTCCCCCACCCCTCTCCCCCACCCCACCACTCCCCCCCCTCTCACCAACACACACCTGATCACTCCCCCCCCCTCTCCCTCACCCCCCCTCTCCCCCACCCCTCTCCCCCACCCCACCACTCCCCCCCTCTCACCAACACACACCTGATCACTCCCCCCCCTCCCTCACCCCCCCTCTCCCCACCCCTCTCCCCCACCCCACCACTCCCCCTCCCTCTCACCAACACACACCTGATCACTCCCCCCCCTCTCCCTCACCCCACCACACCTGATTCCCCCCCTCTCACCAACACATCTGATCACTCCTCCCCAACCCCCCTCTCCCCCCCTCTCCCCCCCCCTCTCCCCCACCACCCCACCTCTCCCCCACCCCCTCCCCTCCCTCCCCCCCCACACCCCCCCACACCCCCCACACCCCCCCCCCCCACCACCCACCTGGCCCCTGCTGTCCCGGGAGAGCCGCGCCCGGGTACCACCCGGGCCGGGCTCCCCAGCCGGCCCCAGGCTGCTGCTGCTGCTGCCCGTTGAGCATGCGCAGTTTGTCGTAGACGCCCTCCGCTCCCATGGGCTGCTTCTCGCTCGCCAGGTTGCGCAGCACGCGGTTTATGGACGACACCTGGGGGGGTGGGGGGGGCAGAGCAGGGATGTGGGGAGGGGGTTGTCAGGTGTGGGTGGGGAGTGTTTGGTGTGTGGGGGAGCGGTGGTGCAGCGGTTAGCGCGCTGCGCTACGAACCTGGCGACCCGGGTTCGATTATCCGCTCGCGGCCAACACCGGTGATGATTATCTGAAACCGGACCTGGGCCTCCCCTAGGTCGACTTAGCCTCAAATAAGTACCTGGCGCGGTGTGTAAACATCGCCATTGGGGAGACAAAGGCGGTCGGGCGTGGTGCTTGCCACCCACCCCATCGTATACCGTTCCGGCCTTCATATGTGCTGCTCGCTAACAGCACTTGCCCCTACAGTCTGTTAAGGCTATACGGGGATCTTTGTATTTGCTTTTTGTGATATGGGGTGTGTGTGAGTGAGGCATAGGCGTGCGAATTCGGTGTGTGTGTGCATTTTAGGAGAGTCCAGGTGTGTGCAGGTGTGTGCGTGAGTGCAGGTGCGTGCGTGAGTGCAGGTGCGTGCGTGAGTGCAGGTCCGTGCATGGGCGTGTGATGATGACATCGGGAGAGAGTGGAGGAGTCGGAAGGTGGATGGAGAAAAGCATAAATCACTCACTCCACTCAATTATTCAAACCAACATTTTTTTTTGTTCCCAGCTTTTGGCAAAGTGCACGAACGCTGTCACCGTAATTCAAATAAAAATATACGATTTATTTTTTCTTCCGATGGCCGCGCTACGTCCGCTCAGCTGTTACTTCAATTGCGGAACAGAGGGCCTTCGAGGAGGGCTACACCGCCTCCGGGTTAATCCGGTCCCCTGTCCGCACTCCACTGTGGATGGGCCGTCGGTCGCGACCACCCCTGTGCATCGGCTGCGGTGCGTGGTCTCCAGGAGAGCCTGGCTCTTGGGACTGCGTGGGGACGTTTGGTCGATTCCTCTGCGAAATGGCAGTGCCCGGCACGCCCCGTGCAATGTCGCCGCGGTGACCAGGAGATGTTAACTACCTCGCCTGGTCTACAGGAAGTCGTGGGTTCGAACCCGGCTCTGACGCCTGCTGTGTATTTGGAGTTTGCGTGTCTCTCTCTCTCTCATCATCATCACGATGGCCAGGAGATGTTAACAACCTCACCTGGTCTACAGGAGGGCGTGGGTTCGATCCCGACCCTGAAGCCTGCTGTATATTTGGAGTTTGCGGTGTCTCTCTCTCTATCTCCACGTGGTCGCGTGGATTTTTCCCCGGGCTTCCGATTTTTCCCCTCCAAATTTAGAATCAACATCACGCGTTCAGAATATTTGTCTGCTATAAATGTCCACGTGACAAGCCACTTCGTCGTGCTATCATTTGTGGCCAGGTCGCTTCTCAAAAAGGGCTACATGGCTCGGTGGGCCTCACCTGCTACAATAAAAATAGTTTAAGAGTTAAAACTTCTCTACAAAGCGCCTCCTTCCCATATTAGGACACTACGGGGAGCCATGAACTTCTAACTCACCCAGATTGAAAACGTATTTCTTTAGAACATCTTTCTGTGATGAGTTTGTTGGCATCCCCCCCAACCGTCCTCACCTCCGATGAGAACGGTTGGCTACGTACGGTGCGGAAGAAGTTCAACAAAGTACAACAACAACAGCATCAACAACAACATCGTCGTCGTCATCACCACGATGTGCTCAGCTGGTTGCTTGCAGGGAGAATAAAACGCAGTCCCCGTGGCGACAGCACATGGGGAAGGCGAGTGGAGTGGACAATGTAGCGCATGGAGCCGCCCATATAAATCCACTGCTGGATGAACACCCCCCCCGCACCACCCACGCCACGTGGGCGATTTTTGGTCTTAACTTTTAACCATACTTCACCACGTTGGTTCTACAGGGAGGGGGGGGGGAGGAGGCGTTCATGGGGGTACCGTCTCCCCCCTGGCTCCCCTACTCTAGGGGTGGCCACTGCTCCGTCTGTACTGCATTGCGTGTATGTACGTACGGTGAACTTCGTTCGCACCGTACGTAACTAACCGAGTGGTGTTGTACCCCCTCGTGACGCGGCGGGGGGCGGGGGGGGGGGGCACCGCCCACGGGGAAGTATGGGAGCGGGCGTGAGAGTTGCAAACAACAACAACAAACAAACTCGTGATGTCGGCTCACTGACGTTCGCATTCATTTGCCCCGCACGGGATTTCAATCCGCATTCGTTTATTTGTTTGTTTGTAACCGCGGCGGTGGTGCAGCTGCGGTCACCGCTCGTCGCTGTTGCTCACCCTACCACTCACCCCCTCACTCACCCTACCACTCACCCACTCACTCACTCACCCTACCACTCACCCACTCACTCACCAACCAACTCACTCACCCATCCACCCACCAATTCACTCAACCTACCACTCACCCATTCACTCACCCTACCACTCACCCACCCACTCACTCACCCTACCACTCACCCACTCACTCACCAACCAACTCACTCACCCATCCACCCACCAATTCACTCAACCTACCACTCACCCATTCACTCACCCTACCACTCACCCACTCACTCACCCTACCACTCACCAACCAACTCACTCACTCATCCACCCACCAACTCACCCACTCCCCCACACACACACCAACTCACATCACCCTACCAGCGACCGAAGAAGCCTTTCATTATTAAATTCGTGTTCTTATTTTCCTCTTCGTTCGATCGCCGGGCGCACTTAACGCATCCCCTCCTGCTCCCTCCCCTGCCTCCCCGTCATCCCCTGTCCCCCCGAACGCACCTCACCCCCCTCCCATTCTACCCCTCCCCTCCAGCCCCCTCCACCCCCCTCTACCTCCACCTCCACGTCCCCGCTCGGCCCGGCACGTGACACTAATGTGTCCCGACAGCCCACGCACATGTGCTCGGGTACGCGGCCTCGTGATGCGAGCATTAATGTGTTTTTTATCGAGGTTATATATTTTTTTAGATCAAGTGGAATGGGGAGATGGTGGGGGGGGGGGGGGATAAGGGGCGGGGAGTTGGGTGGGGGGGGAGATGCACAGAATTTATTCTTATTTTCATTATCATCATTAATAGCTTATTGACTCTTAAATATTTAGCGTTGCTCTTTATTGAGCAGTCGAGGCGGATTATTCCGCGCAAAGAAACAGCGCGTCGAGCCGACAGAGCGGCCGCGATGCCACAGTCACCAAAGACAAAGGTCCCCCGTGTAGCCTGCACAGAATGTTGGGGGCAAGTGCTGTTGGCGAGCAGCGCCTATGAAGGCCGGCACGGCACACGAGGGGGTGGGGGGGAGGGGGGGCAGTGCCAAGCCCGGCCGCCTTTGTCTTCCACGTGGCGACGTTTACACAGCACACCAGGTGCTCAGTGTACGTGGGGCAGGGCCCCAGGACCAGTTCAGATAATCGTCACTGATGTTGGCCGTGAGCGGGAATAAAACTCGGGTCTCCGGGGTTCGTAGCGCAGCGTAGCGCTAACCGCTCACAACGAATATGTGGGGTCAGATGGGGGAAGTAAAACAGCAATGTGTGTCGTACACCCTCCTCCACCCGACGCAGCCACTTAGTCGAGCTCTCAACAAGCGCACAAACGTGACGATGTAACGATAAAATTTCGATTTAAAGCTTTCGTGACTGCAGGGATTCATCTTCTTGGTTCTTTCGGTAAAGTCACGTAGAAAGGAAGTAATAAAATAATAAAAATAAAACATAATAAAATAATTCTCACGACGTTTCGGCCACAACGCAAGCAGCCGTCCTCAGGTATTTGTGTTTTATTTTCATTATTTTACTACTTCCCTTCTACGTGACTTTACCGAAAGAACCAAGAAGATGATGTAACGATTGTTAAACGTGCCTGTCGACTGCTCTCCGTCACCGGCACGCTCGTTTCACCACGGTGCCAACTCTGCTACAGCCGGCTGTGTGTCGGGTGGTGAAAGGGTTTACGACACACAATGTTTCGTTCGCGGCGATCTGACCTCACCTCCCTCCCCCATTCGACCTCCGCCACGAATCAATAATTAATTGAAGTATTGCTCGCGATATCAACCCGGCGCATGCGTTCTGAAGCCCTGCCGACGGCGTGGGGAGTCCCGGTGGAATCTTCCACGCTCACCGGATGTACAGAATCGGAATGTCGATTCATAGTGGAGGAATCGGATGAGCTGTAAAGCTCTTTATTCATTACTTTTTTATTCAACAGACGTCCAGCGAATGTAGCTACCCAAGTTGGCATCGACAACAGTGACAGCCGTTGCGTTACTAAAGAAAATGAAAACAAAAATCATCAACACGGAGGCCTGCTTTGTCAAGCATCTACCGCTGGATGAGTGCCTCTTCCATGCCAGGGTATAGGCCATGAGCATTGCCTGGCCTTCCTTCATCACGCAGGGCAGACACGCGCGTGTCTGCGGGGCATGACAGACACACGTGATGTCGTTTGTTGTCCTTCCCCCGCACCTCCGATTAGCAAGGTTGGCTAGATACGGTGAGAATTAAGTTCAACGCACATTTGTCCTTCATGATCATCCGACCAACAGGACCCAGGTACCTCCTCACCCACCCACCCACCCACGCCCCGTCCCTCGGGGTACACAGATCGATTGAGACGAGAAACGTCTCTGTGTGCGCGTGCGCATCTCTCTGTACATTGTCTCTGTATAACCTTGCGTCCGCGTCTGTCTCTGTCTGTGTCTATCTGCGTCTCTGTGAACTCCCCCACCCACGCCAGAGTCCTCCACTCACGCTGGGGGATAATGTCGCTGGTGTGCAACGCTCACCCACCCACCCACTCGCTCGCCCACCCGCCCATTCACTCACCCACCCATTCGCTCACCCACTCGCTCACCCACCCACTCACTCACCCACCCGCCCATTCACTCACCCACCCATTCGCTCGTCCACTCACCCACTCGCTCGTCCACCCACCCACTCGCTCACTCACCCACCCACTCGTTCACCCACCCACTCGCTCACCCACCCGCCCATTCACTCACCCACTCGCTCGCCCCCCCCACTCACTCGCTCACCCACTCGCTCACCCACCCACCCGCTCACCCACCCACCCATTCGCTCGTCCACCCACCCACTCGCTCACCCACCCACCTACTTACTCGCTCGCCCCCCACTCACTCGCTCACCCACTCGCTCACCCACCCACCCATTCGCTCGTCCACCCACCCACTCGCTCACCCACCCACTCACTCACTCGCTCGCCCGCCCACCCACCCATTCGCCCGTCCATCCACTCGCTCGCCCACCCGCTCACTCACCCATTCACTCGCTCGCTCACCTACCCACTCGCTCACCCAGTGAATTTATTTTCCCCTCCCCCTCCCCCCACTCACACTGGAGATGTTGTCGCTGGTGCACACCTCCCCGCACCCCTCCCCCCACCCCTCCCCTCACCCCTCCCCTCCCCCACCCCTCCCCCCACCCCTCCCCCACACCTCCCCCCACCCCTCCCCCCACCACTCACGCTGGGGATGTTGTCGCTGGTGCAGGCGCCCTCGGAGAGGAGACGGTCGCGGATCTCCCACGCGAAGATGGAGGGGCACTCCCGCTTGTACTGCGCGATCTTCCCCACCACCTCGGGCGTGGCCACGCGCGGCTTGCTGCCGCCGATGGCTCGCGGGCGGATGGAGCCCGTCTCGTAGTAGCGGCCCAGGATCTTGCTCACGCAGCCGTTAGACACCTGCGGTGGTGGTGGTGGGTGGTGGTGGTGGGTGGTGGTGGGGAAACGAAGGGTGTGGTTTTTTTTTTGGGTGCAGCTACGACAGCGCAGTCGCCTGGTAAGTGCATCACGGTGCAGACGACAGGTGAGATGCACCGGCCATTTGTCCACTGGTAACCAGGGTTACAGGTGACCAGCGCACACGTGACCTGTCCACAGGTGGCCAGACCACACGTGACCTGTCCACAGGTGACCAGTGCACACGTGACCTGTCCACAGGTGACCAGTGCACACGTGACCTGTCCACAGGTGGCCAGACCACACGTGACCTGTCCACACGTGACCAGTCCACACGTGACCAGTCCACAGGTGACCTGTGCACACGTGACCTGTCCACACGTGACCAGACCACACGTGACCTGTCCACAGGTGACCAGTACACACGTGACCAGTCCACAGGTGACCAGTACACACGTGACCTGTCCACATGTGACCAGACTACACGTGACCTGTCCACAGGTGGCCAGACCACACGTGACCTGTCCACAGGTGACCAGTGCACACGTGACCTGTCCACATGTGACCAGACTACACGTGACCTGTCCACAGGTGACCAGTGCACACGTGACCAGTCCACTGGACTAAGCCATTGTGTTTCCGGATACAAATTCGCTAAATTCGAAAATCACGCCGCTTAACGACTCGATTTGGATCACAAAGACAAAGGTCCCCCGTATCGCCTCAACAGACTATTGGGCCAAGTGCCGTTAGCGAGCAGCAGCACCTATGAATGTCGGCACGGCACACGAGGTAGGTGGGTGGCCAGCACCACGCCCGGCCGCCTTTGTCTCCCCAGTGGCGATGTTTACTACACAGCAGCAGCAGATATCGCCCCCTACCGCCAAAACAAACTTTGAGAAACTTGAACCCTGAAAATTGTCGCTTGAAGTTCAATGACTGCCACTCCATACCGTGATCGTCACGAATAATTGAAACACCACAAATGATGATGATCATCACCACCGCCACCGTCACTAATGACGTATGCACATCATCACCATCACTTATGATGTATCCACCAAACATCATCAGCACTAACAGTCGCCAACATCATCATCAATTTACCCACCAATTCTCAACATCACGGGTTACTTATCCAGCGAAGATCGTCATCACTATCTCGCAAACATCATCATCATCATCATCGTCAATTCATCCACCTCACATCATCAACATATTTTTTCAATAACGTATTCTTCTACTTCTTCCTATCCGCATCCGTAAAACCTTCACCATCCTCACGCTTTCCCTTCACCAACCTCGCCAGCCATCCCTTCCCCTCTCATCGCCCTCCCTTGCCATCCCCTCCCCTCCCCACACACTCAACCCCCATCGCTTTCCCCCCATCAGCCAATAACCAATGCACGACGATTCAGAACGGCCAATAACTCACGCACAAAATGATTAATTCTTGTAGAGCGCTTTGACCAGAAGCGCTGTGAGTGAGTGTGTGTCTATAATAAAAGCGCCGGACAAGATTCTGATGCTTCTCATGAACTGGCCTCGCGACGCGAGTCTCGCCGAGGGTCGTTATTTATAATGAACCCGGCGCACGTGGCGTCCTCCGGCCCTGCCCCGCCTCCCACCTCGCCAGGGCAAGGGGATAATCAGACGCGAGGGGATCAACACAACCCCGCCTCGAGCCCACCCTCAACTCCACCACCACTCCACTACCACAACCACAACGACCACCACCACTCCACTACCACAACCACTACTACCACCAACCACAACCACCACCAATACTCGGCTCAACTACAATAACCACGACTCCACTGCCACCACCACTCAGCTACCACCACCACTCCACTACGACCTTCACCACTCCACTCAACGACCACCACCACGCCATTGCCGCCACCACTACCACCACCCTCAACTCCACCACCACCACTCCGCTACCACCACTACCACCACCACTCTGCTCAACTACAATCAACACCACTCCACTACCACCACCACCATTCTCAACTACAATCAATACCACTCCACCACCACCATTCTGCTCAACTACAATCAACACCACTCCACCACCACTCTGCTCAACTACAATCAACACCACTCCACTGCCACCACCACTCAGTTTCCACCACCACTCCACTAAAACCACCACTCCGCTCAACTACACTGTATAACAATAATAGTTTTGTTTCTGGGTAGTAAGTGTTCTTTCCTAATTGCTTATGCCTCAAAAGTACAGAAAATTGAGATTATTCCCCACAAACATTGCTTTTTTGACCAGGACAGTGATATTTTGAAATGTACCTATTTTGAATGAGAAAACGGGCAAATTTGTGTCTTTTCGTTCACATAAATTCAGAAAAAAACTATATATGAATCAAAATTAACATGTATTTATACTAAAGTAATACAAAAATGACTACAGAATATTTAGACACCAAGGCACACTACCACAGGCGGGACTGGCCACAGTGGACCGAGTTCTCTGTGGGGAGGAACAACGTCAAGTGGGAGCCACTGGTGGACCCCCGGAAGGTGCTGATGCCACCACTGCACATCAAATTGGGCCTTATTAAACAATCTGTTAGAGCTGTAGATAAGAAGTCGGCAGCCTTCAAGTACCTTCAAGACTTCTTCCCTAAGCTGTCTGAGGCAAAGGTCAAAGCCGGTGTCTTCGTCATACCACAGATGAAGAAGATCCTGGAGTGCAATTAATTCCCCAAGAAGCTCACTAGTAAGGAGAAAGCGGCTTGGGACAGCTTTGTCGAAGTGGTTCGTGGCTTCCTGGGCAATCACAATGTCGAAAACTATGTGGAGCTGGTTGAGACTGGTGAAGAATTACGGCACAATGGGCTGTAGGATGTCCCTCAAAAGTCCATTTCCTTGATGTTAATCTTGATAAATTCAAGGATAACATGGGAGCGTACACGGAGGAGCAAGGCGAGCGCTTCCACCAGGATATACTGGACTTTGAACGCCGCTACCAAGGACAGTATATGGAGAACATGATGGGAGACTACATTTCGGGACGGATTAGTGAAAGTGATTTACAGTATAATCGTAAATCTCGAAAAACTACTCACTTCCAAATCTTTTGTAGTAATTTTTTACTACTTTAGTATAAGTACATGTTATTTTGTATTCATATGTTTTTTTTATGACTTTATGTGAATAAAAAGACACAAATTCGCCCTTGTTCTCATTTAAAATTGGTAAATTTCAAAATATCACTGTCCTGGTCACAAAAGCCAAGTTTGTGGGGAATAATAGCCATTTTCTGTACTTTTGAGGCATAAGCAATTACGAAATAACACTGACTTCCCAGGAACAAAAATTGTGTTACATCGTGCTTTCATCACTACCACATGCCACTGCCACCTCCACTACCACCACCACTCCACAACCAACCACCCTCACTACACTACCACAACCCTCCATTACCACCACTTAACTGCCACCACCACCCCACTACCTCCACCATTACTCAACTACCTTTCATTAGTACCAATTATGGTTTCCAAATTATTGATTTGATAACGATTGTGCTGATTAGGCAGGAGTATCTGCCGTGGTGGTGTTGGCTTTGGTGGTTGTTGTGGTGCGGGGAGCAGCAGTGTAGCGCTATGCTGCGCTACAAACCCGGCGACCCCAGTTACGATTATCTGAACTGGTCCTGGGCCTCCGCTAGGTCGACTCAGCCTCAGATGAGTACCTGGTGTGGTTGTGTGTAAACATCGCCACTAGGGAGACAAAGGCGGCCGGGCGTGGTACTGGCCACCCACCCTCCTGTGTGCCGTGCCAAGCTTCACAGATGCTCGCTAACAGCACTTGCCCCAAAAAATCTGTTGACGCCATACGGGGGTTCTTTGTCTTTGGTGGTGTATGTACGTATGTAGAACTCCTTTCGCACCGTACGTAGCCAACTGTACTAATCGAAGGTGCGGGGGAAGGACAGCAATCTAAACACACAAAAAGAACCGTTCTAAAGAAGTGAGGTTTCAATCTCGATGATTTAAAGTGCATAGCTCCAGTGGCTTCTTGTTAGTGATGGTGGCGGAGTTATCGATGGTGGTGTAATTCCTGTCCGTAGTAAAGTTGTTGTTGGTTGTGGTAGTTGATGGAGCTGCTGCTGCTGGTGGTGGCGTTGCTGTAGTCGCTACCGGTTGGTGTGGAGTTGGAGGAGGTGGTGGTGGTGTAGTTATTGGGGGTGGAGTTGACGGTGGAGGTAGTGGTGGTGATAGTGATAGTGATGGTGGGGATGATGGTGGAGTTGGTGGTAGTGGAGATGATGGTATATTTTATGGAGGGGGAGTTGGTGGTGGTGATAGTGGTGAAGGTGGTGGTGGTGATAGTGGTGATAGTGGTGGTGATAGTGGTGGGTTTGGTGGTGGTCGTAGTTGCTGTTGTCTGTTCTCGGCGATGATTATGTTGCGGTGTTTGTGGTGATGCTGGTGTTGCTGGAGATGGGAGATACTGGTGGAGTTGGTGGTGGTGGTGAAGACGATAATGATGGTGGTGGTAGTGGTGGAGTTAGTATTGGTGATAGTGGTGGTGTAGGTGATGGTGGTGGTAGTGGATGTGATGATGGTGGAGGTGGTTTTGGTGGAGTTGGTGATGGAGGTGATAGTGTAGTTGGTGGTGGTGGTTGTGGAAGTAATAATGATGGAGCTGATTGTGGAGGTGATGATAGTGGAGGTGATGATGGTGGAAGTGATGGTGGCAGTTGGTGATGGTAGTGGAGGTGATGGTGGAGTTGGTGGTGGTGGGGTTGGTGGTGGTGGTAATGGTGTGGTTGGTCCTGGTGGTAGTAATGGTGGGGTTGTTCCTGGTGGTGGTAGTGGAGGTGATGGTGGAGTTGGTGGTGATGATAGTGGTGGGGTTGGTGGTGGTGGTGGTGGTGGGGTTAGTGGTGGTGGTGGTGGTGGGGGGTTGGTGGTGGTAGTGGTAGTAGTGGTGGTAGTGATGATGGTGGTGGTGGTGATAGTGGTGGGCTTTGTGGT